AAATTATAATTATGAATATCTAAAAGAAATATTGCATGTTGCTCATTGAAAAGGTGTACGATAAATATGTTGGATGCTTATAATACAAATCACTATTGTGTTGTGTCTCAGTCTTAGGGCCACTTCGACCAACGCCGATTAACTTTAATCGACGATTAACTCAATCAGCAGTGTCGCCAACAACAAGATATTTGTCGTTGTGTATGTCGTTCTTAATCAATCTTTTCAAATATTATACTACTTCACTTTAATTTGAATAAAGGTATTTCGATTTTTATTTAAAATATTTACGAAAACGTGTTTATGTAACATGGATAGAATTATTAATTTTTTATTATTTTATGAATACGAGGGTTATGATCTTCCAATAAGAAGGAATCGACGAAAACCACGTATAATCAGGCCACGTATAAATTATTTAGAAATTTTTGATGATGATCATTTTAAAAGAAGATTTGCAATATCAAAGGAAAACTTTAACATAATATTAGAATAAATTTATGTTGAATTACAAACATAAAACTAATCGCGATTAGTTATGTATATAATTGAATAAATATGTGTATAAATATACAAATGTTTAGTGAAGATGAAATTATAATTATGAATTTCTAAAAGAAATATTGCATGTTGCTCATTGAAAAGGTGTACGATAAATATGTTGGATGCTTATAATACAAATCACTATTGTGTTGTGTCTCAGTCTTATACACAGAAATTTAATTTTGATTTCGCAGACAAAAACGCCTGTCTTTTTCTTCTGTAAAAAAAAGACAGGTTTAAGGTTTCTCTTACTTAGGTAACAGAGTATGAATAATCTTGAGGTCTCGGCATGCTCGTGCATAATCTTGGCCTCATCGTGTGTCTTTTGCAACGCCCAGTCTTTCGACATACGCTCGAATAATTCTCTAAACTAAAAGAAAGTAGAGTGATAAATAAATGATCATGTATTTCAAAATCGATAGACATTTATACATTAAGTCTCATTGATACGTTAGCATAATTGTAATACGTAATTCTAATTCTAAAAGATTTACGAAAGTAATGTTGCATATTTTGACCGTAATATAATTTTTCTTTAGTCACGTTCACTTCGTTTTACTTTTACCTCTCATTGCTCATATGGCGATGTGTAATAAGGAAGGTAATTGCAAATCCGTGTATTGAATAATGTTCCAGAGAATAAAACAGAATGTGTAATACAATGGTAATTTTGTCTATTTCGAAAAATGGATTAATATCTATCCAAAAATGAGTGTCAACTTAGGTTTTTATGTATCAGAGTCAAATGATACATTCTATTAAATTTAAGTAATGAGAAACACAAATCGTTAGAGAATCCAGCGGAGCTTACTTTGTCCACGTGTGTGACACGCATGTACAAGTTGGTCAGGCCACCAGTTACAATTAGAAACGTCGGTATCCAATCCACCATATAGTCCATAGTGATGTCAGATGTAATAAATATGCTATTAATCTAGTAAGATGTTATTAACTCTTAATAAGAACAAAGAAATAATTTCATCAAGAAATAATTATCCGAGACACGTTTGATTAAATTTCTCGTGAAGAGTCTTCGTTATAATTTCGATAAAACAGTGATATTTGGTTTCTGAGTTTATATTCTATTTTTATTCTGATACCGTGAGAATGTTATTTCCAATCCTCTAGTTCGAAAAATATCTAACATTAAATTGAAAAGAAAATTATTTTCTTAAACCGTAAGTACCAGCAAACATATACTTATTAGTATGGTGACCGTTAAAACAGCTCTTATTAAATGAGCTCTCCGTTTGCTTTGATAAGGAGATAGTCCGGTAACCGACAAAAGAAATCGGTTCAACTTGTAGTAATGCTCCTCGGGATGTTCCATTTGCTTCGAGGGCTTCAAGAGAACTGACTAGAAGCGAGTCGATTGCTGCTTGCCGATTATTAAAGTAATTTTTCCTCTTTTTTTTAAGATCCATTTGATTATTTCTCTTTTTTTATTTATCGCGATATTGTAGGGCAAATTATATCGAGAGAAAGTGCGCGCTCTTAACGCGGCAGCGAAAATTTCTCATAAGTGTGAGATTATTGATCGACAAGTCGCATACAGTGTTCGCGTAAACATGGGAAAGAAACCATTTGTGGGATCTGCAAACGAAAATTATCTTTAGTTTAGTTTTTTCTTACGGACGGTTCTTCTCGCGATTATTTCGCTACAGTTTACAAGCAATTTTTTCCGCTTTATAGTATTTTTTTTATTATTTCGGAAATAGGTGAAGCGGAAATGCCAAGGGGGATAAATTCAACGTAAAAAAAAACTCGCGCGGTATTAAAGTAACAGAACATTGTCGACTAGATACGTCTTTTCTGTAACAGCGTCATCAAAAGCAGGATAAGTTTTGTAAGTAAGTTTATATGTGAAATGTTAAAAGTGGATGTTAAACTCAGTAACACCAAAGAAAGCTAAAAAGATATGCATGGATACTATTACAAAAGATGCATTGGAAAGATACGTCGTTAATCCTTCACTAGCAGATTCCTTGATTTTCTACTTTTTAAAATAAAACTCTTAGACTTATTGTTAGATAATAATTTCGTTTTTTTAAACTTTAGTCATCTAAGAATGTGAAAATAAAGTTTACTCTTCAAACCTTTTATTGGAGTAACATTGGTTCAGTACTTTGTTATATTTTTGAAATAAGATTGCATTATAGACCGAGAGCTGGCTACGAAAATACCAACGTCATTTCTTTAAGGAAATTTTCAACCTCAAACGATTGTGGCAATGTTGCAAATTAAGAAAAGGTAAGTCTGGCTGCTGGCTGCTGGTGCGTTTAGGGGGGGCGTACGGTTTTAGGTGTAAAATATCGAGAGTAAAAAACGTCATATCTGTAAGGCTAAAAATTTTTTTGCTTGTACTATATAATATTGTAAAGTACTTGCAAATGTTGCCAGACCTGTAGGTGAGGTCTAAAGTATTGCCAGATCAGGGTATAACTGCTTAAGACTTGATAACATTTACGTCATTTCTGTAAAGTTGAATTTTTTTTTGCTTGTTGTATACGTGTTTAATAATCTGTATATGAAATGACAGACAAAAATCTTTACACCGTGCCAGACGTCGCCGAAAATCTCAGTATCTATGGAATGTACTGTAAATTGCAGGCAGCAACAATTAATTTTATCACTTAAATTTTTCACGTATTAAATTTAAAATGTTTTTTGCTAATAACAATATTTACAAACATTTTTTACAGGGGGAGGAGCACACAAAAATTTCGTTTCTAAAACCTTGACAGACTCCGACAAACAGCTCTTTACCGGGGCGATAAAATACACACATATGGGAGCTATTCTTTACGAGTAGATATACAGAATTTATAGAAAGCGATGTAACATAGACTTATCAAGACACGTGTTAAAACATGTAAATTTGAGAGTCAAAGTGGCGACAAAGACAGTGATGATAACATCGATCATGATGATGATGATGAAAATGAACCTAATAATAGCGATGACGGTGATGACTGCGAAGCACTTGATGATTTATATGAAGATTATAGCGAAACAGATGATTAAAAATTGTTTAGCCATTTTTTTACTTAAATTTAAAATAAAATTAAAAATTTTCATTTTTGTAATAAAACAAAAAGAATTTATTATTTTTATTAACAAAACATTTCAAATTTAAAACATATGTAAAAAAAGTTGAACATTTATATCCTACGATTTGTTTGTCGGAGTCTGTCAAGGTTTTAGAACTGAAATTTTTGTGTGCCCCTTCCCCCGTGAAAAATGTTTGTAAATATTATTGTTATTAGCAGAAAACATTTTAAATTTAATGCGTGAAAAATTTAAGTGATAAAATTAATTGTTGCTGCCTGCAATTTACAGTACATTCCATAGATAGGGGAGACCGGGGCTAAGCCGACAGCGGGGCGAACTTGACACTAGGCTTTTTGCCAATTTAAATCTATCGTAGAAACTTGCCTTTGCTACTGTAAATGCGTCTTTATGTGCCAGTATTATCAACGGAATTTGGTAACATTCTGAGTTATAGTGTAATTTTTAACGCGATATAAGTGTTTTTGATAGTGAAAAGTAATTTTTCTGATCTCTCGAAAATGTCTACTCTTTCATCGAGCTTTACTCTTGCGAATCTACCGGTAAGTGATTTTGATGGGAAATTTGATACGAATCCGATAATAATTTTTGCATATTTTTTCAAAATTTATATATTTTTGGAATAACAAAAGTAAAAAACGACGTTCGGGGCTAAGTCGACACGACGCCACTGGGGCAAAGACGACACTAACCTAAAGTGACATTATCGCAAAAAAAAGGTCATTGTTTCGTCCGATTCCGATGACGATTTAAGGAACATCTGTTGCGTGTGTTCGGAAAACATTTCATTAGCTTCTAATAACAAACAATGCATCTTATGCAACCGTATGGCTCATGACGAATGTGTGCGCACATCTGATCGCGAGTTTACGTGTATAAATTGTTTTTCAGACAGTTCAGAAAAAGATAATTAAAAGTTTAATCTTCAGACAGTTCAGAAAAAGATAATTAAAAGTTTAATCTTTTTTTTTCTCATTATTTTAAATAATTGTTTACTTTATTCCGACTTGTTGTTTCTAATACACAATGTTTTTTCACTTGATAAACAATGTATTTTTATTTTTAAACAATAAAAAAATAAGTGTTAGATCAAATTGTGTCGATCAAACAAAGTGTTGAGTTTGCCCCGGCGGGGTGTCGAGTTCGCCCCGTCATTTTTCAATTCGAAAATTTGTCTTCGCGTCACTTTTCCTTTCCTGGCGGCAAAACAAAGCGACGTACAGCAAAACTTCCTGAATCAATTTTGTACCTGAAGAAACACTCTTTAAATATATATTATTGAATTTGCCTAAAAATTTTAATTAAATATTAAAAATTGCCTTTGAAAAAATAGTGTCGGCTTAGCCCCGGTCTCCCCTACTGAGATTTTCGGCGACGTCTGGCACGGTGTTAGACCCGAGATTTTTGTCTGTCATTTCATATACAGATTATTAAACACGTATACAATAAGCAAAAAAATTTCAACTTTACAGAAATGACGTGAATGTTATCAAGTCTTAAGCAGTTATACCCTGATCTGGCAATACTTTGGACCCCACCTACAGGTCTGGCAACATTTGCAAGTACTTTACAATATTATATAGTACAAGCAAAAAAAATTTTAGCCTTACAGCTATGACGTTTTTTACCCTCGATATTTTACACCTAAGGCCGTACGCCCCCCCCCCCCCCCCCACCCACCCCAGTGGCCACCAGCCAGACTTTTCTTAATTTGCAACATTGCCACAATCGTTTGAGGTTGAAAATTTCCTTAAAGAAATGACGTTGGTATTTTCGTAGCCAGCTCTCGGTCTATTACGTAATTGTGAAAAAATATCCAAGCGGTGTAAAAGGGTGACGTGTGATTCCGCACGAGTGCAATCGACTCGTGGTCAGCGGGTTCGGGATTCGGTCCTGACTTTCATGTCAGGACTGTGTATATATCCTCGATTTAAGTATAGGATGTGGATTAGGAAGTTGAAAATTATATATAAAATTAATGTGAGAATAGAATTATAAACTTGTTTGGGGACAAACTAACACTGATATAATACTAATACTTAAGCAGTATATTTCACACATGTACATGATAAAATGGCGAAAATGTCTTCGACTAGATAGATCCTTTCTATACAAGATACGAAGATCAGAAAGATTGTGAATTCTCCAATGACAGATTCTTTGACTTCCTATTTTTTTCTAAAATTTTTATAGAACAGTATTTTTTTCTAAAATTTATCCATCTAAAAATATAAAAATAGAATTGACCTATGTGTATAATTTTCTATACTACAGAAACCTTATAAAGGAATAAAAATGGCTTTTCTTGCGAAAAATAAGCTAATTGTAGACTCTTCAAAGAATCTTCCATTGATCATGAGAAATCATGATTGTGATATGTCATATATTTTTAAAACAACAACAGACAGATTTGTGTGGAATCACGAAGTATTCTAATAATTACAGAGTAGTTGCTCGATGTCTTCGCGTAGAGTAGCGAAAATTGGTCTCTCATGGCTGTTCAGCTGCCAGCATGATAACATCAGTTTTCTATGAATTTCTTGTGGACAATTGTCTGGGCATGGAAGACGGTGGCCACGTTCTAGTGCGTTTAGTAGGTCGGTTATAGTCGTCATTGAGATTTCTTTCTCACTCACTCTGATTGACAACTGTGGGTCGACGCCGTAACTGAAAACCTCGTACATCGTCACGCCGAACGACCACACGTCTGAACGTGTTGAGAATTTGTTATGCCTTAAGCTCTCTGGTGCGTACCTGAGAAAAATCATTTATTTCTTTTGATGCGTATATTATATAGCAACGCGAAAAGTAATCCCATCTTAAGGCTTAATAAAAGTTAACGAGAAGAAAATGAAAAATATTACATTATTTTCAAATGTAAAAAATTACTTGATTTTATTGTCTAAATATAAAAAAATGGAGATTAATATATATATTTTTGTAATATTTACCATTTAATTGGTATATTACGAAGGGTTTTGAAAACATAATAATCACTCGCCGCTATTACTTGCGCGAGGCCGAAATCACTGATTTTCACTCGATCCTCATTCGCTACTAGAATATTTCTCGCTGCTAGATCTCGATGAACGATGTTCATACTACCGAGATACTCCATGCCCGCGACTATGTCTAGGGCGAAGCCTAACAGTGTTTTGTATGCGAGACTAAATCGATGCGAGCTTAGATAACTCAGCAACGAGCCAAATTGAATAAACTCCATCACCAAGATTCGGTCCACTGAGCACAAAATCTTCACGATATTTGGATGTTTGAGTCTCTAAAAATAAACAAGAAAGAACAGAGTTAATGTAGTCAACTTACTACTGCATTTAACTAACATGCAATTAATCAGTATATGTTAATTTTAAGCACAGTAAGAAATAGAAACATTTTGTTTCTTATTGTTATTAAATCTTTTCACGTTATACGTATTAATATATATTAATACGTATAACAATGTCGTTAACAAGAAATATACTAGCTAAATATAGTAAACATATACTATATATTAAAGTTATGCTACTTAAATATTGCAATGGCAACAGATAAGATTTACAAAATTCTTGATACAAGAGTTTTGTATAACAATTTTTAAAGAAACAACAACTGATTCTTAAAACAATAATTCACCTCCATGATTTTAATTTCCCTCTCGAAATCAAGCACATTTTCCGAGTCCTCCTGCGTCTTGAGCTTCTTGACGGCTACATCCTGTTCCGAGTCAACTTCTTTACCGTTACGCCTCCTAAGCGTACCCTTATACACTTCGCCGTAAAAGCCTTCACCTATCCGTCCTAGCAGGATCACATCCAAATTTTCATTTATCTCATAGGTGCGCTGCCATTGGGAGTTATCTTTGCTGTTGAAAGTCTTTTCGTTGGTTTTGCTTTTGTTGGTTTTGCTCGAGCTATCTTCGCGGCTCGGACCACAATCGCTACCGTTACCCGACACCGGCATCTTGTACAATTCGTTGTTTAGCCAACGTAGATAAAACGATAGTTCGTCACTGCTGCTGTCTTGATTCTGATAGCTGATCAGCTGTTCTGTAGCTTTTAAAGAAATTAAAGTTAATCCATGTCTCTTGTATCAGTTGTTACAATTAAGTTTTGTTATTTGTAAACTAAACATATATACTGTGTTATAATGAAGAAATTGAGATAATTCATGATTTTTTTAATGTCTAAAGATGCGACAACTCGATTACACACGTCTATATAAGTAGCATCAAAATTGATCAAGAATAATACAAATTATTTTTGTAATTAAAAAGGTTTAAATCGACTTACCGTTATCGTCGAAAGGAATACTGGTGTAATCAGTGACCAAACTTGTTTGTGATTCACTATTTGATTTGCTCTCTTCTGTAAAAATACTGCCATTTTCATCGTTATTTCCATCGGCTTCTTTGAACAACTTAGGGCATATAGTAGCGTAAGTATGAGTTCTACGAGCATTATATACTTCATATAGAATCTGATTAATATCTCGCATGATAGCCTGAGGCTGTTTCCTTGATATAGAATTATTTTTGCCCCAGCATTCCAACATTAATTTATAGATTTCGTTTGGACAATCCTTAGGAGGAGGTAATCGGTTTCCACATTTATAAAACTGTAATACAACACCATTTAATCATGTTAGTCAGAGTTTAATAAAAAGATCAAATCTATCAAAGTAAAGAAATCACATAATTGTAAAAAATGTACCATTTTAACAGTATGAGTTTTATGATATTTGGGTGGGGAAGCTCCTCTGGAAAATATCTCCCAAATGGTTGTCGCCAGCGCCCATATATCTGCTTGGAGACTGTATTTTGCGGATGTTAAATCCGTGTAACATTCTGGCGGTATCCAATATATGCTGTGCAAAAGAAAGAATCCTTGTATTACGCATGAAAAGAAAACAATGAATATAATTAAACAAAACGTTATTTCTTTACTTACTCGTCCTCGGTATAAGTGAACAGACCAGGATCTCCCAACTTGACAATGAAGCTGTTATCCGTATGCAAATGTACGAGAACGTTTCGGCATCTTATATTTCCATGAATTACACCATTCTCCTCCTATACATTTTTACATGTTAAAATTATGTAACACTAAAATATAACGCAGATATTTGAAGGAATTTACCAGATGCCATAGGGCTGTTGCCAGACAGACAGTGGCTTCCACCATATCGACCGTTAGCACAGATTTGCTATTGCTGCACAGGTACTTGTCCAATGGGCCCAAGTTTACCAGTTCGAGGAGCATTCCGATCGTCGGAGCCACAGTTATGCCGTACAATCTAAAAGCGAAAAGTGGAACGTAAAATATTTCCACGCTACATCTTTCTAAGATTTCTGATATTCACCTAACTAGAGCTCCCGATCGCAATTGGCTCCACTTGCCGACCAACTCCAAAAATTCTTTGGTATAATTATTCTCCTCCGTCTTGAGTATCTTCATTATAACTTCGAGCTTCTTGCCCTTAGCAACTCGCCATATAGCTCGATGCAAACTCGTCATTGTTGTTGTACGAGTTGTCAAATCCTCGTCGCTCTTTGCGATCGCTTTGTATACCTGCAACTCATTCCATGGTACGCATCGCGGTCCACCTTGTAATAAAGTAGTGATTATCTCTTCGTCTGCCGCTACTTCGTTCACGACGTTTTCCGAAGCGCAAAGTAATAATTTTGACTTGTCTAGAAAATAAACAATCTCTATATATAAATGGAAAACTAAAATATGAACATTTTCTTTTGTTTTCCTCTCTCTAAAACATTACATATATCAATTCATATGTAACTATTAATATATGTACCGTATTCCGAAAATCCTAAGCATTTTCCTAAGTATATTGATTCATTGGGATTTTGGAACGAAGAAATTAAATGCCTCAGAGATTCGTACACCCGAGCGCTGTTTGTCATTGCAAATTTGTCAGGTTTAGTTTCCATCACTCTTTGCGAAGATATAGTTCCATCTTTGTTGTAAACGTCAATATAGTACACGCCGTACTCGGTTTCACTCTCGCGCAATATGTAACTTCCTGGCTCGTTGGCACATTTTTCCTTGAGTTTCGTGTACGAGAAGTCTTTCCTGAAATATTTTTTACAGACTCTTTGTAAATAAAACAAGCAGAATATAATCTTGTGTCGTCTTGCGGAAATTATCTTACCCAACCGGTCCATGGCACCTTAACTTTTGTAATCTTTCTAAAGAAGGCGTAATAATGCTACTGTCACCACTGCAAAGATTAAAATTCCACTTGACGGATAAGCGATAATATCCGTCCAGTGCGGATACAAAAGACAACAGAATCGTTTTTGTGTCAAATTGTACGCACAATGGTATGCCCGTCCTCCTCCCAATCAACACAGTATTGTTCTTTCTAAAGAATTGAAAATGTGATAGATATAAATATAGATATTCATTACTTCTAAATACATTTAATTTATATATAGGCATTTATATATAAAAATTATTTTAAAATTTGTCGTAAGACTGTGCATCAGGAAAGAAAGCTAATATGTTGAAATATGTTATTATATGTTTGTTATTACCCTATGGAAAGAGTGGAAATGTCCTCTATCCTGCAAATCGTTTTCCATGTACCCATGTCAATCTCACAGTATTTCACTTGCTCTATGGTAACTCTAAGTAAGACTTTAGCTCTTAGATTAGGAACATCTTTATCCATTAACGTTGTATATTCTTCATATGGATAATTCGGAGCCATGCGTTCAAATTGCTTCAAATACTGCTCCTTGACGTATGCAGCGTCGTACCCAGATAACTTCGTAAGTGCATTGTGAATAGGTTTCCTAATAAAAAAGGCGTGCCTCTTTATGCATTCCTTAGGTATATATTTCTTATATTCCGATTCTACAATTTCTCGTGGTAGTTCTTCTTCGAGCATTACCCTGCAACGAATAAAATGCCATAAAGTTACATCATATAATGCTCAGCAATTACATTAAACAAAGTCTACGGCAAATTTGTTCGCTGTAAAAGATTATTTATAAGATAAAATATAATCGTTTATTCTTTTATCAGAAGAAGATGAGTTGTGTACCTTACCTGTACATATCGCTAACTCCTAGACCAATCAATTCATGTTTATGTTTCTCATAAACTATGTCAGGTACTTTATTATCCAACACGTCCCTGCGGACTTGTTCAAAGTAATAATTATATGCATTTAAATCTATTTCTCTCAGTCTGTCCATACTGGATGGCTTGAATCTCAAGCGAAAGTTGAATCTGTACTTCTCCGAGTCCTCTTCCAATATGTGACCACATGGGAACCATAGTTTCGTAGAATAACTTTGCAATGCGAACAGGTGCCTTGCTAAAGGACTTATATTAAAAGCATTGCATATCTAGAAGTTGAATAAAATTTTGATTTTTCGAGAAATATTCAAATGCTTTGCACGGAAGGATAATGAAAATTTATTCAACTATGACAAATACGATAAACCGGATAAACAATGCAAAAATAAATTTTAATAGCATTTTGAAGAAACAACGAAAAAAATCAAATATTTCATAGATTAAATGATTAAATACATAGATGCTTTATAGATTTATAACAAGAGTTAATTATTCTACAAAGCTCAATGAATTTAATCCTACTACCTATGTTAAATACAGAGCGAATCTCTTTTCTATATTTAAATTCTACACATATTTTCTATATTTATTTTATACCGAGACAAATCGCTGTACAAGTCGATTTATCATACTCTTGCTATATTACTTAACACTAGAACAACCAGCGTCAAACATATACTTAATTTTACATATCTGACAATTTGATAGGTATTTGAAATACGTTTTATTTGTTATTAATTGTAATTCTTTTATATTTAAATAATTAACAAACATACCTGTCAGTTACAAAGATTTTTACTATTTCACACTTATTCTTTTCTTGTGAAGCTAAGGCATAAATAATAAGTGTAAATAAGACAAAAATTATTTTTATCAAGTAAATAGAAAATGTGCTAATATACGGTCAGGTTGAATTTTTGTGGCTAATAATATTTTTCGCATGAATTTATGTACATTTTTTGCTTCACAAACTACACTGCCCTTACTGTCGGTCTCGAAACGTCTGAAACTGAAGCTAGAATAGTACAATCAGATGATTAAATTGACAAATCAATTTAACATCGACATTAATATGCATCTTTAGAACCACTGCAAGAATATGGTGCACAAAATATTACGCCAGGGTTCAAACCTAGATCTCTCTACTATCTGGGAAGATGTCTTTACCAATTCAACCACTGAAGCATGTGATGGTATTAATTGCAACAATCTATAAATATTAAGGAGAACATTTTTTAAGGCAAATGCATATAAAATCATATGTTAAGTGAGTCATTAAGTGAGACTGTTATGATAAGTAAATAGAATATGTGCCAATATACAATTAGGCCTGGATCTCTTGTTTAATATTTTAGTTATTTTTATGTACTAGGCAGGATGGAATTTTTCAAAAAACTATTTATAAAAAATCTTAATATAAGAGAATTTTATATTGTTGTAATTTTTTATAAACAAAATTGCAACACAAACTATGAAATTATTAAGCCTGTTATTTTGGTGGATTAGGTATTGTACGTACAAAACTTCGAAATTGAATGGTCGATGGAAAATAAATCGGCATATATAATAATTTTTTTAGCTCGACAAAAATAAACATAAATTCCAACAAAAGCACCTTAACAATTTCTGTAATTTAAAACAAGAGATCCATCATTTTGACGGTTGGTTGTTCTAGTGTAAAGATAATAGTTTCGTATAATTAACAAATAACGTGACGAAACTTTGATATGAAAATTGTCAAATCAGAAGCATTCGTACGTGTTTACTATAAGAATATATACGATAACATTCCATTCTGCTTTATTTAACTGAAAGAAAAAGAATTGCCCGCACCTTTATACACAGGTATTCGATGGTTTCACCAACAGTAAATGCAAATTTCAACGGCTTATCCCTGCTGGCCATATAAATGTACACATAATGTGACAGTCGTGGATCGTCATCCATATTAATTTACAAATCGTCGATCTTGCCAGAAATATTACATCTTATTACAGCAACCCTCAAGATCCAACGCACGCCAATTTGTTTTCTGTTTACCATGTGTGACGAATATAGCGAATTCGATCACCTGCATTACTCTGCACTTGTGCAGAATAAAGATTATTACACCAGACACCTAGAGTTATTCAATAATAAAAATATAATGCACACATAATAAACCGATAAAGTATTCAATATTGATATTGTTACCTCTTTGGAATGCGTGTTCGAATCTATTCTATCGGTCAAAACACTTTAATTGAGCTCTTCTATTTGGATACTTCTTACCAGCTTCTTTACATAGAATCCTTTACAATTACAGATTGGAGTAGCAGTAGTATGTATATACATACAATACACTGAGTGCGCCTAGGAGCACGACGAGCACGACCGTTCACTGAGCGGCTAAATAGCAAAGTGTGATTGGTTGGATCCAAAAGTAAGAACCAATCACGTTCTATTGCTACTCAGCAGCTCAGTGAGCGGTTGGCGGTTGCGCTGGTTGTGCACCTGGATGCACCCACTGCGTCTCATTAGGGCTCATGCACAATGCTGCGTTCAGCGGAAAAAATATGGCGACTTTATGCTGGATGCCCATTGGTTTAGCGATCTTATGTTACGCTTATGCTAAGCTATGCAATTTTGTGTGCAAGACCCTTTAGGCTGAGTTTCCACTGAGCGCGTCACGCGTCGCGTCTTCCGAATTAACCAATCAAAATATCCCATTTTTTAACATTTTTGTAATGTAATAAACGTGGACGTTTTGATTGGATGACGCGACGCGTGACGCGTCGCGTCGTCACAAGTTAACCAATCAAAACATCCCATTTCATTACATTCTTGTGACGGGATCGAAATGGGATGTTTTGATTGGTTCAACTCGGACGACGCGACGCGTGACGCGCTCAGTGAAAACTCAGCCCTAGAGTCTCTAATGTCAGCGTCATCCGTCATCAGCCGTCATACATGGCCGTCATTTCCGTTTTTGGCTTAAACGAAGAAGCACGTGTGTGGACGTCTAGGGTAATTCTTTCTTTTCGCTCTCAGAATTTAAAGACTTAATACTGTATATCAGTAGCTGTCGCTTCTTAAATTGCGCCGCACGTATTCGTTTCTGTAATTGTTGCGGATAGAATACTTGAACATGGAAAACGAGCAAGAGGAAACGAGTGTCGGCGACGATCAGTTGAACGGCGACACCGCTACTGAGGTTAATGACGACGCGCCGACCGTTGACGCCACGGATGAAAAAACGGAACAACAGACAAAAGCAAACGGAAAAGACACGGAAGAAGAGGAGCCTTCTGAGGATCTTTTGACGAAGATTAAGGCACAAGTAGAGGTATACTTTGCACTTTATATTTTCATAAACGAATAATTTAGTAGTCTTCTTTTTTTTTAAGTCACTGTGCAGAATCACGCCTCGGTGATTCTTCGAAGGTGCCAACATAACTTAAAAATCAAGGACATACGTGGGGCGAGAGTCGGGATCGAACCTGGGACTCGCTGATCACGAGTCGACCGTTCTCACACAGAATGACGTGTTTCCCTCGTTCGTTGTTTCTTCTATTTTGTAATTTCTTTTTGCAGTACTACGTTGGCAATGTAAATATGTAGAGGGATAAATCTCTTATTGACGAAACAGAACTGCGTGAGGATTAGGATCAAACCTGGAATGCATTACTGAAGCTACGGCCTACTTTACGTTACAAATGCTTTGAACCATTCCTCTTTTCCTTTCTTTCAGTGAAGAAAGAAGGAGAAGAATGCTTCAAAGCATTTGCAGCATTAAACGGACTGCAGCCTGAGAGCCTCCGCTCTCGTATGATAGCGTAGCGTGATAAAACATGGGTCAACGCACAAGAAACATATCGGTTACGGCCTTATACGTCAATACGTTTCTTGTGCGTTGATCTACGTTACGTTACCATATGAAAGTTTTGTGCGGAGACTCTAACCGATACGTTTCTTGTGCGTTGATCCACGTTAAGTTACGCTACGCTATCATACGAGAGTCTTGTGTGGAGGCTCTGAGTCAACCATTCTCATACAATTCCAGGGGTCGCTCTGTGTGGTTACTGGTTATATATATATTTTAAAAATTTTTTTTTGCAGTACTACTTTGGCAATGTAAATATGCAGAGGGACAAATTTCTCATTGAGCAAACAAAACTGGACGAAGGCTGGATTCCAATGACCGTCATGTTAAACTTCAAAATGCTGGCTTCTCTCAGCAAAAATGTCGACGTAATTCTGAAGGCTTTGGAAACTAGCGATCTCATTGAGATGTCTGAGGACAAGAAAAAGATACGTCGCTCGCTGAAGCATCCTCTACCGGAATTTAATGAAGGATATAGGAAGGCTCAGGAGGCTCGAACGGTTTATGTCAAAGGCTTTCCGTTGACTGACACAACTATTGACAAACTGAAAGCTTTTTTCGAACCGTATAAGCCATTTGAAACGATTGTGGTAAATATATTTGTCTGACACAGAAATAAGTAAATATAACGTTTTTGAGCATCGAGTAAATCGTCCTTCTCTCAAATATGAACTTCTTAGCTGTAAACACCTACTTATACTTGACTCTGACAAAATAAAGACTACAAACTCGAGATTAAATTTAAATAATAAATAATAATCAATGCCTAATTTTATTAATGTCTATTTCTTATTTGGTTATATTTAGGATTATTTGAAAAACTTAACAGTAGATATTGATATGAATATCAGAATATAGATATCAAAAATTATTTTTAGTATACTTAATATCTCAGATGATTATGTTTTGCAGATGAGAAAATATCAAGATAAAGATAAGGTTTTTAAATTCAAAGGATCTGTTTTTGTACAATTTGAGACTGTTGATGTCGCCGATGCATTTATGAAAGCAGAATCGGTAAAATATGAAGATACTGAATTGCTAAGGAAATGGGCGTAAGTAAAAATTATATCTGGAGAGAGAGAATTGACATATATTATATATTTTTAATATATATACATCTGATATTATATTTATAGTGCGGATTATAATGCAGGAAAGGCACAAGAAAAAGAGGAACGTAGAAAAAAGAAAGCAGATAAGACGAAGAAAACTGTAAGAAAAACAAATAAAAGATGAATATGATTGTAATCTATCGTTCTTAATCCAAATTCTTTCTCTTGTGCTTTACAAGTTCGTTTTTTTTTTTTTTTTAGACAGAGCAAAAAGAGACTGAGGGTGATGAAGAACAACCTGCAGCGACAGATAATAAATTGCCAAAAGGTTCAATTATTTTCTTTTCTGGCGTTTCTAAGACGTGTACAAGAGAAGATATTAAAGAATGTTTAGACAAATTTGATGCTGATATTGCATACATCGATTTCCAAAGGGGGCACACAGAAGGCTGGGTACGTCTGCAGGGAGAAAATGCTGCGAAACCTGTGTTAGACAAGACAGACGAAGGCAAGGTGAGAGAAATATCCACAAAATTTTTAAAATTTTCTAATAATTTTGATGGTTTTGAAATAAAATTATAATAATCAAGTAAAACATTTTAATCGTGTTCCAAGGTAGTAATCCAGGACATTAAAGTTACCTGCAAAATCCTCGAGGGTGAGGAAGAAGATAAATACCTTGCTAAAGTAATGGAAGAGATGGTAGCTTCGAAGAACAAATATAATAAAGCCAAGCGAGCCGGTAAGAAAGGTAAAAGATCATTTCCGAAACATTATACAATTGTTGATTATCAAATATATTATAATGATGCTTTTTGCCATGCTAATACTGAGAAATCATAAACATTATGGATTTCGCTGAGTTAAACTCTTCAAACAACTGAATTTTTTATTGTAGCGTAAAAGAATTTTGCGCTAAAGGAGCAAGAACTAATGAAATTTGTTGAATATGTTCAAAGGACGTGCGCGAGGTGCGAAGAAGAGAGGTAGCAGTCCTTCGCGTGACGCAGTTCTGGCTAAGAAGAAAGCTGTCGAGTAAGATCGATTCATTCTGAAAACTTCAAAGTTACATATGTATATTACACTGTATTTTCAATGTATTGACTAGTTATATATAGAAAAGGAACACTAAATTATGCCTGGCATAATTTATTACACGAGAAACTCATCTGGTTTAAACTTTTTGTTACTTTTCCTTTTGATGTATATTGTTTTAGATACCTTGAGAATATAGCCTCGTCTATATTTGGTTAAATGCGTTTTCAATTATTTACCATTTCACGTTAAACTTTTCATTTCGTCATGACGAGATTTAAAAATGACAATTCTGCCGTTTGACGGATGATTAACAAAAATCGCTGTGTATTTTTATAAATTGGCATTTATTTGTTGTACAGTGAAATTTACAAATTGGTTTCTCTAGACTATAACACGTATTTAAATTTCACTGTCGTTTTACGTGCGTCAATTCTACCTTCACGCAAGTATCACAACGTGTTAAAGACCTTAAAGATCGTATCGTCCGCGAACAGTTACTTTGAAAAATTACACGTAATAACGTATGTACGTACTTAAAAACTATCGTAGTCGGCAATACGATTTTACGCGACACCGTGTCTGTGCATTATTACGCTACATGGTATTTAATTACAGATTTACGTTCTTAATCATATTGATACATATGTATAGTTTCATGTGCCGAGGAGTCGTACGTAATCAGTTAGATGAATCTTATTTTTTTTTTTTAGACAGTCTCAATATTTAATGATTTTGAAACTCATTCTATAGGTGGAAAAAGTTTTCGAGGTCTTTTTCTTCTTCTAGGATAACAGTTAAATTGTTGGAAAATTCAGTTCTCGCAAGTGTTACCTGTTAATTGTTACGTAAGAATAAACTTCTTACAATCTGTAGAATCAAGATATAAACGTGATAGAAACGTTTCTTTAGCATGTAAAAATCTATCAGTGGTCGTGTCTACAATGTTTGTCCCGCTTTTCATTTTCATATTGCTGTGCCTGATTTCATCATCAATTATCGCATTCCATTGTATCCTGAGAAGCTCATCTCATTTTCTCGCGCGGACCGATTTAGTTGCACACAATGACGAGGATGACTTTCGAAACTTGGTATCTGTGTGGAGTCTAGCGGTCTCAGCGATCTCAGGTCATGAATATTAATTCGGGATTAAGAACTCTCTACAAAGACAAAATGTATCTCTGCAAACACGGGCGCGATCACGTCTTAGGATACTTGGTCGTGGAAGAGAGAAAGAGAGTTCTATACAAGTCGATAGCTTTAGTCCTACTTTAAGAGAAATTACTCCTTTTTCTTTTATCGTTACGTTTTTTTTTTTACGAGCAGATATTTGACCTTGGCAATGATCTCAATTTTAAAAAAGGCAGTAGGAAGGAATTATATCAATATTATTCCATAAATTTTGGCTCAATAGAATCGAAGTGTCATCAAGCAGGTTCATCAACATTTTCATCTCTTCGTTACACATAAATAACTTTAATTTGTAATTACTAAAAATTACGCCGCTATCCACGAAGGTGAAAAGACTTAATTCTTGTAGTATAACATTCAAATATTTTAAATAAAAATATAGATACACTTAATGCTTAATTTTTTCCTTGATGTTAATACTGTCAAGTACTCGTACATTGTTTTGAAAGTGGAGAAGAATATACAAGATGCGTTGCCAATTGCGAGGTCTCGAGGCTCGCGGGCGAGAAACGCGAGAGGAAGTGTGTGTGTATATTATCAGACGGGAAGTTTTAGCCGTGATTTCGTGGCGGGTGGCGGTACAATACTTATGACTCTGTCGGACTATTCTCTACGAGAAGAACACTCAGCGGAAGGTCGAGTCCGCCCTCTCGAAAGTCGTCGCGCTGCTCGGTCGTAGCCCTTACACGGCTTTCCACCGTCGAATGCACTCGTGATTGTGCACTTGTGCGACAGGTAACGCAGTTGGAGAATTACGCTTTCCGCCCGAATAAACTTCGCGAGCGCTATTAAGCCGTTCTCCTCGGCAGGATCGGAATTACACGTTTCGAAGAACGTGGCTAACTCTGTATGTCGCAAGGGCGGAAACGACGAGTGCGCACCTTCACCTGATAGGTACCGACGGCTTTCGTATACACCGTATTCGTTTCATTTGCGAATAACGAACGCGCCCGATCCGTTTGATCCGCGCTTCGCGTCGAGTGCCTCTTCCTTCCTCCCAATCGATGCTTTACAAAGCAATCGTCGAGACGATGGTATGCGATCGTTGGCTTTGGTATTCCGATTCCCGTTTCGAGATCCTCTTAGATCGTCGTCGTCGTTGTCGATTACCGTGTAACGATCCGCCACACGGTATTCTTATACGTATAATTGCTTTTTAACAGAGAATTCGATTTGGAGCTTTTTAGAGTGAGAATTTCATTATACGTTTCGTCACAATAATTCCTCGTCAGGCGCCCGTTTTTCTGTGACATCGAAGACATCGATACGTTTCCTTTATGTTGTGTAGTGATACTTAATTAAGGCCACCTATTTGCCACGGTCTCCGAGAGAATCAGGGTTTATTCCGATGAATTAAATGGCTAGGATGCATATCGTATCGATATCTTCAATTGCGAATAATGTCCTTTGAATAAAATACTTTTTGAGCACCCGATATATTACGTAACATAGCCACGAGTTATGATAAGTACTTTAGCAATCACTTTCTTTAAAACCATCAAGAGAATATCTCGTCTCTTTATAAGTAGCAACTACGTACAATCCACGTACTCTATTAGAAATAACGACCACGCGCAATCTTACAGTTCGTAGAAAGAACTGGTCGCAAAGTTTTCTTAAAGTGGTAACAGTCAGGCGCAATCCGGCAGTAATAACAGTTCAGTAGCGCGACCGCGTTATAGTTAGCCACGGCACCGCGCCGCAAGTAGTAACAGTCGGCGATAATCGGCCGTTTTTAGTAACGTTCAACTATAATTGGACACGCCGTGCCGACCGTACATTGATTATTCGACGCCACAATTCACGCGCAATGCACACTTGTAAAACATCTATTACAAAGCCCTTTTTCGCCTGCTGAATTCGAGTTACGCTTAATCGGCACTGTCCAACGATTCGATTAAGGGGGAACATCGTTCAAAATCTGGACTCCGTGGTGGCCCTCTCCGCGTCCACGAAGGTCACCCTCTTCGTCCGCGCGTTGCCCTCCGGGGGCAACCCCTAATGCTATACGGATATCTCTTGTATCTGCACGCGTTTCTTGATGGTGTTGGTGCTGCCGGCAGTGGTGAGCGAACTGGTGGTCCTGGCGGGCGGTTTCGGTGGGATCGCGTCCTTGTGGGCGTTGCCGCTGGTCCCGTGGCCGGATCTCGGGTCTTTCCTATTCTGCTCGCAGTCCTGGCCGTCCGGGGACTGCGCGAGCTGCTGCTGCTGATCCTGGACGGAGGGGCTTCTCGCGAGGGTCGTGTACGACGGGGGCGGCTCTTGAGCGGGTCGCGGATTCTCAGAGGGTTTCATGGACGTCCTGGTGGTCATCGGCAGGGACTCCTGACCGTTCGGCCTGCAGTCCATTGCGGCGCGTTTCTTGTCGCGATCCCGCTGATAATAGATGCCGGCGAAGATCAGCATGTTCAGGACCAGGAGGATGCAGCCGACGCCCACGGTGATCCCCAGGGCAGTGGTCGTGCTGTAGTAATGACGGGACGCCAGTCGCTGCAGCAGCTCGGCGTCGTCCTCGGAATCGTCCAGAATCGGAGTGATGTCCTCGATGAGGCTGTCCTCGCCCGCCGTGGACGTGCTGCAGGCGGTGGTCGAGGACGAGCTCGTCCGAGTCGTGCCTGTCAGCGGCAGCGGCGTATACCATTCGTCCCGAACCGGTCCTGAATAATACAACGAAAAAGAAAAATGAGGAATAATTGAGGGGTGGTATTCACGTCATCTCTTCCGCGAAAGAGCTATGATCTTACCTGCGTAATAATGATCGCCTCGTTCTCGGAAGTGATGATGTCGCATGGAAACGTCGTCGTCGCCGGGACGATGGAGCTGCGGTATCAAGTTAAGCCACACGGCCATTTTATGACCGCGATAATGGCTCTTCATCTTCGGTTTCAATGCTGGAATAAAATTTTGATGGTAAAAAGCGCCTGTTCTCCTTCGACAATTATCTGCATATCCGTTCACTAAAGGATAGTTATTATGTATTGATCAATCGTAAATGTGCAAAGTATTATGAGCGACGTATCGTCACGAATAATTATTAACAGTGAATCAATTGTAATTATCGAAACGCATTAAAGAGTACATAATTATTATTAAAGACTACATAATTATTATCAAAGAATAATTTCGCATTATATTCAAAAGGTTTCACCCTCGCGCGCAATTAAACTTTTCAAGGAAATTTCAAAGAGAACGTCAGGGAGAACGGCGGGCAAAGTCCACTGTACACAATCAAATTTCTGCAGGAACTTTTTGAGAGGGAATTTAAAAAGATCGCGGCGACGTTCCACGAGAAACTGAGAGAACGAGAGGAAGGCGCGCTTTATGGAAAATTAAATTTATCGAAAAATAACGAAGGGGGGAGGGAGAAAACTCCTCTCTCCTCTTCTCTTCTCTTCTCTCTCTCTCAAGCGTCGCGACGTACCTATCGTGAGATACTGCTGAGTTCCTGTCTCATATTGTTCCCATGTGAGACCGCGGAATCGCGTCTTCTCCTTCGGCGTGCCGTAGTCGACCGACTCGATCTTGTGCGGCTCGTTCGGGTTGCCGGTCTTGGCGAAATTGGTGAAGAAGGTGAGCACGGCCTCCGCAACGCCCTGGTCTTGTCGGGAATAATTCCGCGGGAAGAAAGCCCCGCCTGCCACCAGCGGCAGCCCGAAAATATACGGTATGTCTTCCCCACGTACGCTCCCCAGGCGCTGCAACGAGATTTTCCCACTCTCAGAGAAAGAGAGAGAATCGTCGAGCGCTCTCTCCGTGATCGATAATTATACCGCGCGGCTGCCGCGCCGGCCTCTTCTCTATGCACGTGCCATTCTCACGTAGATAGGCGCGCGAGTTTATTATAATATTTGCTATGCCCGCAATTCGCGTAATTCGTAATTCATGATATAGTTAAATCATTATCGGCTATTGACGATTGTTTTATTTAATTAACCGAAACAGGATATTAGGTAATTATTGATAGCCAATTACTAGAATTTTAGTTAATTAATAGAACCGCACGCGACGATGCGCGATTGCCCAGGAATTGTGTGCGGGCCGGCGGATGCCACTTCCAGCCCGTTGTACACAACGACCGTAATATCCGACAGCGAAATTCTCCGTCGTGAAATGCTACCCGCGTATTATACCACTGATCTCCATTAGCACGCGCGAAACGCGCTTCGCAGGAAAGAATGCGCGAGGAGGAGACCGTGGCAGGCGGAAAACGTCGCGATTAACGACTCAAATAAATTCATCGCATTTGCCTTCAGTAGTCTTGGATATCGCTTTCTTATCCTCTCTTCGCGCGGCTTTTTCCCGTCCTTGTCTCGCCTAATGCGCCTCTCTTTTTTCTTTTATCGCGCGTCCGGTAAACCCACAGCGACGGCGACGACGTACGACGACGTTTCGATTGTGTTGCCGGTGATATTTAAAGCGACGCGGAGTTCATTAGTCGCGATTACGCGAACTTATTAAAGAGCGAATCTTTCGCCCGGCGCTTAATTAAATCTCGTTTCGCACACGCGGACGGGGAGGAGGGAGAAGGTAACGTTGATGCTCCAAATCGCGCTGTTAACTATACGACCACTTGCATCCTCGCTTCCATCGTCCCTTCCCCGAGCGGGATTAAACAACTTTCGGGGACCGACGTGACGCGCGCGCGGCGGCTAATGCTAACTTTCGTTGTTTCTACGCGCGTTTCCAAACGCCAGGAAGATAATAACGCAAATATAATATATACCTCCGGCACTTGCCAAACGGAGGAGATAATCTGTTTCCTTAAATATCCTACAAACACGAGGTACGAGATATTTTTTTCAGCCCCCCGACGAGCGTCCTCTCCTCTTCCCACTAAATTGAAAACGTCAATCTGTTTCCCCGTCGCGACTTTAACGCGCCGCCGCTCGGCAGCGCGACTTTACAAATTGGCCGATATAACAATTTCTTTCTTGTCCCCCCGATATTATTATGTCAAGCGTGACAAATCCCCGTCATTCCCGGGACAAAATGCGAACACGGTGCGCGCGCGGGTCGCCCGGGGCGTTTTATTAAATCAGTGTCTTCATCGTGAAGTCATGGCCAGCGGTTGCCAGCCCGGGGTATAGATCGAGCGGGACGCAGAGTGAGACGGATGAGCTTACGAGGACAGTACCTATAGGATCGAGGGTGGGGGAGAAGGGTTTGAACGGGTTGCTTCCTTAACTGGAAGTGCCGGCGGACTACTAGGTGTCGAGGGCGAAACGTTAGTCTCTCTTCGGGACGTCAAGTTAATGGAGTTAACTCACAGACTTAAGCAGCGTCTCCACCTCTTCTGCTCACCCGCACCCGCCTGCCTTCCGTCTTTGTCGGTATGGCGCGCGATATAGCTGTGTGCTAGCGCGGCGGGACGATATCGTTTCACGATAGAGAAAAATCGACGCCTCGAGATACTGCGGATATCCCTGTCGATCGACAACGCTAAATTACGCGATTTCTTGCTACCCCTCGTCGCGCAAATTTCCCGCGGAAATCTCTTATCGTTGGCTATTACTTAAAAACAGCTGTGTTGTAAAATTCGGTATTTAGCTCGCCACATTCCGGTCCAGTGGACCGTTGAACGTTTCGGTTTTCTAGTTGCAATCTTTTTCTTATAATAAGTTCAGTTTAAACTGAAATAATTTTCTTGACCAGATATTATCATAACCATGTTATTCAGAATCCGTATTTCCAATTCCTATAATTTATAAGCTTAAAAATATATTAATTAGAATGAAAATGACAATGCGACAAAGTTTCACGGACCGGAGGTGTGGCGAATTAAGGACTCGAAAATAAGTGTGGCTAGTTAATGAGTTAAGCACATAATGATTACGAGAAAAGGTTCATGATAAAATTTCTTCGCGTCGAGGAAGCTCGTGAAGCTTCCGCGAGCTTCCTTGGTGAGCGACAACGACGTGCCTTACCTGCACGTAGCCGCTGTCCTTGGACTGATGATTGAAGTGATAAAAGTACGTCTTGGCGCCCCGTCTGGCGTGGTAGAAGGCAATTCTCATGAGCGGCGCGACCGTGTGGCCATCGCTCAACGCCTCCATGGTCGAGTCCCGTATTATGATGGGGTGCAGCACCGGCTTATCCCAGTCCGTGTACTCGTTCCTCACCGCCGAGAAGATCTCGTTCAGATGGTAGACGTAGGCGTTGCGGATGAAGGTGCGCAGGATGCGATTCCGGTGGTCCTCCTCGAAGCCGAACTGTATGTCGTTGTTGTTGAAGTCGAGATTCGACTCGGTCGTGGAGACGCCCAGGATCAGCGGCACCTTGATGAACGCGTCGCTCGCGCGCTCCATGTCCAGGCCCGGGTCGGGATTGTTTTGGTCCACCGGCAGGCCGGGCCCGATGCGGGGCACGAATCTGGAGGAGGACACAAAACGGGAACGGGGGAAAGTCAGTGATGCCGCATGCCGCCTCTCGCTCGTCCGAACGACAGGCGATACTAAATTGATATAACAAGGGTATTAAATCAATAATGCGAAGGGCTATTAACCCGCCACGATCCGACGGTAATCCGATAATAATTCAGCGTGCGCGCGCGCTCCCGTGATTATCCTTTCAATTAGTAGTATCGCAGATTCATTTCGACCTCGCGGTAAATACATGTACTCGCAAACGCGCCCGCGTGGCCCAACGGTTAATCCTGGTGAACGATGATGCGAATAAGTGTTGACGGAATTCAATTTAAGACTTTCTAGATTTCCGCGTTCTCTCCGCGGAAACGTGAACGCGTCCGACGTGACGATTCATATAGCGCTACAAGATTTTCAAATGTCGCTACACGCAGTTTCGACAGTTCATCATAATTCACCGCGGGCCGTGGACTCATGAAATCGTTATAAATTTGTAGCGCGGTAATTGCTGCGCTGGCCAGACGTCATTTTTTAACGTATCAATCATATCTCTTGAATTTTTTACCGTCCGGTATTTTCCACTTTTCATCGAAACGCGTAGCTCCAATATTCAGGCGACGAATATATACATATATATATTGTAGGATTCATATATATACATATACATATATATACAATATATGTATATGTGGCACAAACGGGGCGATCGCAAGGTATAATATTATTTATTACATCGACGTGCTATCATAAATAAAAAGATGGAAAAGAGGGTACCGATGCATTCCATCTGTCCCAATTTCACGATACATATTTCATTATTTTAATTCTCCCCGAATGTGGAACTATCCGTATCTGGAGGCAAGAAGGATAAATGTTTTCCCCGAACCATCGACGCTCACCTGATTTCCGGTAATTGCACGTCCATGAGGGTCTTGAGCGGTACTCCACGCAGGCAGTCGGCTATGTCCTCCTCGCCCTCGGTCGAGCAGCCCATCTGCTCGCCGATCTTCGCCCTGAGGTCGTTCGGATCGTGCACCGAGGCCCAGGGGCTTAGTGCCGAACCGCTGGATAATACCACACGATGAAATAATCCTGCGGAAGAACAGACGGTTGGCGTATACAGGAGCGATATAGGCTCACGTAGGCATGCGGGAGGCATCCCTTTGCTCGGCGCTAAGCTCGTCGTAAACTCGTATATATCGAGTGTACGGCGAATAGCGGCAGGATATCGTCAGCTTCCGACCGATCGGGCGGAAGCGATGAGCCCGACGGGAGTTACCCCAAATGGTTATTATCCTCGCATGGATAATTAGAGGCGGACGTAAATATGATCGCGCGCGCCGTCCTGTTTGCCGCGTACAACACCGGCGATATTGTTTTCCGCGCGAGGGGCATCGCGCGAAATCCGACGAATTAACCGAACACTCGATTATTGGGACGATTAAAAACTGACAAGCCGGTTCTACAATACGTCGCAAACGATGACATCAACTGCCAGTTGAAAAGTGTTATTTCTGATTGCTGATTGCCCAGTTACTGTCGCCAAAAAAGTTAAAAGTTCGCCAACTCTCTTTTAACAACCGCAATTGACATCAAGCGCAACGTGGAAATAACACTTTTCAATTAACTATAGCAGTTGCCATCGTTTGTGCCGTATTGTAGAACCGCCTTTACGCAACGCATAGTTGCCAGGTTGAATTAGTCGTTACCTAGAGGCGGAAAACACACGTTGAGCAATTTTCAATATCCGATCGCGGCGCGGCGTGCAGGAGGAAATTTTCTAGGCAGCGCGATTAATATCGTCACGTCATTTCGACGGCCTGCGGCAACGTTTAAAACGTGGAAAATCATGCCGCCATGGGAAATTCATGCTAATTGAAAAGGATATTGCCGTACCTAATTAATCTCGCTTTTAATAAGCTGAATTTTGTGACGTAACGCTGCGGAACGTTTTCAAGCGCGGTGCGTTAATATCGGGCCGCGTTCGATAGCTATCTCCACAGCGCGCGCCGTATTCCGGTTACGAACCGGAAAATCATATTCGCCGGCAAACATTTATGCTGACGCTAAAGTCGTTTATCGAACGTCACTGGTTTCTTTATGAAAATCGCTGTTTCGATTGCAAACATCGCGCTCGCGCGTACAACGCGGCTCGTCCTCCCGTAGCGAGGAGAAATATTAGGCAATATGTGTCCAACATAAACATTCGCGTATCGTTGATGCGCGGCACAAATATTTGTATTTTATGACTTTACATGCTCAACACTCGTGCGCGCACGTTTAATTTCTCGCAAGTGATATTCGTCTGATATAAATCGCCAAGAAATCGGCTGTTGGATAATTTTCGGCTGGCGTTTATTATCCGCGGTTTTCTCCGTTATTATAGAGAAGGGGCAAAAGTTCTTGATCAAACAAAAGCGGAGTTGATTATTAAATCGCCCTGATATTTTTTCTTTCTCTCTCTCCTCGTAAATATATCATAAACATACTATATAACGGCGAAATATTGTTATCGCTCCATTGAAATTCGTGAAATGCGCGATGAAACGTCGCGACTCATTATGTTAAATCTGTTCGCCAGTCGCGGCGCTATTCCAAAACGGCGAGAGTCGCGGATGCGTTTAACGCGGAGTCTCTGCTGTCAACGAGCCGTAAAATCGCGGAAAGAAGTCGCGAAGGAAGAGAGCGACGACGCGGGAAGACACAGTGGAGCGAGGATCTTCCTCGTCTTCCGTCATACGGCCACGATTTCATTTCCGCGAGACGCATTCAGAATGGGAGGGGGAGGGGGAAGGGAAGGAGGAAACGAGTGCGCGCGTACGCGATGACCCGAGAGTGCTCCTTTTGGCTGCTTTATCGCTATTATTATTAAGAAGTGCCGCCCGATGCGCGCCATCCATCCCCCTGGCGCGTTGCCAATGACGCGCGGATGAGCCAGAAGGAAAATACGGATAATCCATCGTCGGTGGATCCCGCAGCTAATCTCAAGTTCGAAGCGCACCCCATCGCGGATGCGATTCTCGGTAGTTATTCGTCGGTCTTGCTCGAAATTGTTTAGACAATTCATCGACTGGTGTCTGCACTTATACTTTCCGATCACTTCGTGCGAAATGACTGCACACTGAGAAAAAAAAGTTGCTAACTTGACTAAATATTTTCAACTGACCGATTATTATTTTTTTAATTGAAATATTTAAACCAAATACGACATGTATTAAATTTAAAACATGAGGTATTTTGACTCAAATATTTCAATTTAAAAAATAATAATTGGTTGAGTTTAGTTAACAATTTTTTTTCTCAGTGTGCTGGCAGTGCTGGGGATCAATTATCCCCGACTGTGGTTTCCTTCCCCCTCGTACCAGATACGACGCGGAACGTGCATCTCGACGTCGTTTTCGGTCGACCGCGTATCGTGCCGCTGATAATAGGACGTCGACTGTATTTCTTCCCTTATTTCTGCGAGACACGTTCTCACGCAGGCCACGAAGAATTCGATTTACTCGCTTCGATAGCATCGTGCCGTTCCCCGCATCACAGATTGACTATTGCCCCCGTCGATTCAACATGCGCGCCGATATTCATGACAGAGGGAGAGATCGCTTCGATCAAAATGTCCCCTATCTCCGCGACTCTAGCAGCGTCGCCGACGAACCCTTTTCTCCCACGAGAAATCTTTTATTAAGTATCTCGAATATTGTGTGTCTCTCTCTCCACTCTTAATCTCAGACGAACGCAATTCTGTGCGATGCGGAAACTAATTTCAAAACTTGTAATTTTCCGCTAAAGCAAATTTCGCGGAAAAGATTAGAAATAAAATCCCGCGCCAAGGTTATCTAAAATGTAATGACCAAACTATAATCCTCCTTGAGTACAATTAATGTATTATGCGTTTTTGCGTAATATACTGTAGACTAGAGATGGGAACGTTATTTCATAAAAGCTATCGTTATCGTTACTTTTTTGTTATTAATTTTGTGATACTAAAATAATATTTGACTTTAAAATTAAATTATTTAATAATCAATATTCAAACTCTAAACTGGTCTCTCTCTATCTTACGTTAACAGTGCGCACGATCTATTAAATAAAGATAACTAAAGTAAGAATACAAGAATTAAAGTAATGATAACTATTAACTAAAGTAAGAATACAAATAACAGTTGAATTCGTTACCGTTACTGTAAAAATGTGACGACGTTATTGTTACAGACAGAAAAAACGGTAATGGTAACGGCGTTATAAGCAACACGCGTTATTTCCCAACTCTGCCGTAGACTTTCATAATCGCTTTACACTACAGAGCTAAAAATTACGAAAATGGCACTTGGTTTCTTATTGCATAATTGCATTCAGATACACTATCTACGTTATTTATCGTCGACCTAAAAAAAAAAACCCCGACCGCGGCGTCTACCGCCTGTCGAAATAAACGACCGCGCGGATCTCAACTCCCTCCCGGCCCACAATTACTCCATTTTTCACCCGATCCAGCGCGACTATTGCAGGCTTGTACTTTTGAAAGGCGTATTAATAAATGTTGCGGAAGAAATACGGGATCGCCGGTTTCTACGGTGGAGGGCGAGGAGCCGCGGTCAGCGGCGGCTACCGCGCCTTCCATCGCGCAGACGACATTAGCGTCGCCAGGGTTAACGCCCTTAAACTGTCACGTTAAACCGCGATATTTCACCCGGTTCCCCGTCCCCCCTCCACCCCGTCTCTGCGCTTTCTCCCGCCCCCGGTCGGTTTCGCGACTAGCCTCGTTCCGCTGGCCAACTACCATAATTCCTCCACAATGTCATGTCCACGATACGAGAGTGTCGCGTCGTGTCGCGTCGCGTCGTGTCGATGAAATTTCGACGGGGATACATCGGGGGGTTGCCGGCCCAGTCCGGCAGTCATTCGATCTCCTTCACAGTCTCTCATCATGGCGCGATCATCGAGACCACGGGCCTCGCCCATCAGCTCGGCGACGCCCGGCGTCGTGGCGCCGCGCCACGCCGCGCCGACCGGTTAAAGGGAACAAACCTGGCAAATTGACGGTGTTCTCCCCCCCCCCTCGCGCTTCTTAATAACGAGAATAATGGGTTTCTCTCAGCGAGCTGCGAAACAGACCGCGGGGAGAAAAAAAGTGGGATGATGAGGCGTGCGCGCGCGCGGTCGGCGGAAATTGTATACTTTTCGTTAGCGAAGCGGTAAGCGAAAGATTAAAGGCAAACAAGAAACAACGGCGCGTGACGGTGGTAATCAGGCCGGCTTACGTCGCCGGGGATGGATTTTCCCGGGGCGAACGCCGGGCGTGGAGCGGCTGCAGGCTGGCTCTGATCGTCGCTCAGGAACGCGGTACACCACACGCCGCAGTGACCAATCGAGACTTCTCAATGGCCTGCACGTTCGCTCGCACGGTTATATATCTATGATATTCCCGTTCGGATTTTTGTCGGATTTTACTCGGCCGAATGCCGGAGGTCTTTCTCTCTTCGGGATTCGGAATTCTATCGCAAGAAGGCACTAAATTTTAATTAGACAAATTTCTGACGGACCCGCAAGAGATGAGTACGCGTCACTAATTTTTATCAAAAAATAGATTTCGTTCGACTCGCGTGATGGGAGAGGATTTTGCGCGCACAAAATACCACTATATGCGGACAGAGTTCAAAGATATAAGCGCGGGGTGATTTTTTTTTAAAGGGCTTGATTTTCCAGCGTTCGTTAAATGGGATAAAAAATAATGGACTAAAAAGACGTATTTGTTCCTGGCCGGGGGATTTTTTCCCGGGTATTTCGCTGGGGTTTGGGGAAAAAAATCGGGACGTTCATCATGCGCGCGGGTTATGCGATATTCACGCATCGACGATGTCGATGCCTTTTACAGAGGGAAACGTTATCGCGGATGATGTTCATCCGCAGACGTTAATTTATTAAATGTCATAATATTCTGTCGTGAAAACATTTTTCTCTTTAGAGAAGTGATAAAAGCGCTTAATATTCTTTCACGTAAAAGGAAGACAAGGAAAATATTGTCCTTCCGTCGCGTCCGTTTTTCGCGGAAGAGACGCGTGAATTTTCATCCAATTCAGGAAAAATCCTAT